TGACCTAAATAACATGGACTAAATGAATAAATTCCTTGAAATGTACAATCTTCCAAAACTAAATTGGGAAGAATTAGAGAATTTGAATAGACATATTATACCACCAGTGCAACTGAAGCAATAATGAAAAAACTGGCAAACAAAAGTCCTGGACCAGGTGACTTCACAGGTGAATTTTACAAAACATTCTGAGAAGAAATAACACCTCTGTTCCTCAAACTGTTTTATAAAATTCAAGAGAAGGGAAGTCTCCCAAACTCATTTTACCAAGCTAGCATTAGTCTAATTTCAAAACCAGATAAAGATACTACAAAGAAAAAAGTATAGGCCAATATCTGTGATGAACATACATCTAACATTCTCAACAAAATATTAGCAAACTGAATATGGTAATGCATCAAAATATGGTAATGCATGATCAGGTGGGATTTACTCTGGGAGTGCAAGGTCAGTACAACGGTTGCAATATGATTCACCACATAAACAAAATGAAGGATAGAAACCACATAATCATATCAATAGATGCAGAACAAGCATTTCATAAAATCCAGCATGACTTTATAAACTCAGCAAAGTAGAATCAGAGGGAACATACCTAGACATAATAAAGGCCATGCGTGACAAACTGACAGCCAACATCATACTCAATGGGCAAAAACTACAAGCATTCCCCTTAAGATCAGGAATGAGACAGGGATGTCCATTTTCACCTCTCTTATTCAATGTGATATTGGAAGGCCTAGCCACAGCAATCAGACAAGAAGAAGAAATAAAAGGCATCCAAACTGGACAGGAAGAGGTAAAATTGTCATTATTCAAAGATGACATGATACTGTACATAGAAAACCCCAAAGATTCCACCAAGAAAGTACTAGCACTGATAAATGTATTCAGCAAAGCACAAGATACAAAATTAATATGCAGAAATCAGTTGCATTTTTTATATACCAGTAATGAATCCCACTCAAAATTGATTCAAAGGGAATAAAATATCTAGGAATAAACATAACCAAGGAGGTAAAATACCTGTACTCAGAAGGTTATAAGACATTGAAGAAAGAAACAGAAGCAGATACAAATAATTGGAAGCACATGCTATGTTCATGGATAGGAAGAATTAAAATGTCCACACTACCAAAGAAATATATAGATTAATGAAATTACCATCAAGATTCCAATTATGTGTTTCATAGAACTAGAACAATATTTCAAAATTTATATGGAACCTTGAAAGGCCCCACATAGCAACAGTGATCCTGAGAAAAAGGAACAAAGTTGGAGGAATCACAATGCCTGATGTGAAACAACACTATAAGGCCACAGTAATCAAAACAGCATGATACTGGCATAAAAATAGACACATAGATCAAGGAAACAGAACAGAGAGCCCAGAAATAAACCCACACCATTACAGTCAACGAATATTTAACAGAAGAAGCAAACAGATACAATGGGCTAAAAATAGTCTATTCAATAAATGGTGTTGGGAAAATTGGACAGATATGTACTGAAAAATGAAACTAGACCATCTTCTTATACCACATGCAAGAATAAATTCAAAATAAATCAAAGACTTAAATGTTAGACCCCCAAACCATAAAAATACTAGAAGAAAATATAGGTAGCAAAATCTTGGACATTGCTCATAGCAATATTTCATCTACTATAACTCCCCAGGCAAGAGGAACAAAAGAAGAAATAAACAAATGGGACTGTCTCAAACTAAATATTTTTGCATAGCAAAAGAAGTCATCAACAAAATAAAAAGACAACCCATCAAATTGGAGAATATATTTGTCAATATATGTGATAAGGGGTTAATGTCCAAAATTTATATAGAACTTACAAAACTCAATGTTAAAAAAAAAACAAACCCAAACTACGCAATTGCCACATGTGCAAAGGACCTGAATAAACACCTCTCCAAAGAGGACAGACAGATGGCCAGTATATATATAAAAAGATGTTTGTCACTAAGTTACTAATCATCAGAGACATGCAAATTAAAACTATGATAAGATATCATCTCACAGCTGTCAGAATGACTAATTTGAATAAACCAACAAACAAGTACTGATGAGGATGTGGAGAAAGGAACCTTTTGTACTGTTGGTGGGAATGGGGATTGGTGTAGCCACTGTGGAAAGCAGTATGGAGATACCTCAAAACATTAAAAATGGATCTGCCTTTTGACCCAGCAATCCCACTTCTGTGAATATATATCAAGGAGCCCAAAACACTAATTCAAAAGAACATAAGGACCCCTGTGTTCATTGCAGCATTATTTACAATCGCCAACATATGGAAGTAGCCCAACTGCCCTCCAGTAGATGAATGGATAAAACAAGTATGGAACCTTTACACAATGGGATAGTACTTGGCAGTAAAAAAAAAAGAAAAAGAAAATTTTACCCTTAGCAACAGTATGGATGGACCTGGAGAATATTATGCTAAGTGAAATAGTCCAGTCAGAGAAAGCCAAATACCATATGATTTAACTCAGATGTGAAATCTAATGAACAAACTGAACTAACAAGGAAAATAGGGACAGACTCATAGATGGAGAGCAGGATGACAGCTAGTAGCGGGTAGTTCAAGGGGTGGAGGAAGTGAGCCATGTGGGGAAAGGACTGATAGACATGGACAACAGTGTGGTGATTGCTGGAGGGCAGAGAGTATAAGGGGACTAAATAATAATGGAAAAGTACAAAAAAGATTAAATTAAAAAAAGAAGAAGGAAAAGAAAGAACAGTATTGACCATAAAGATGAGCATGTAGATTAATGAAACAGAAGAGGTACTCTAAATATACACCCACTTAAATATTGTCAGCTGAATTTTAACAAAGGTGCAAAGGTAATTCAATGGAGAAAGGCCAGTGTTTGCAACTAATGATGCTTGAAACCACTGGTGTCCTTATTTAAATTTTTTTTTTTACTTACATCTGGCATCATATACAAAAAAACCCCAAAATGTCAATGTAAACTAACATAAAATGTAAATCAATAAAACTACGTGTAAAAAGGAAAAGAAAATATTTACGACATTGGGTTTGGAAATAATTCTTACATACAATATCAAAATCATAACTTATAAAAGAAAAAAATTGATAAATTAGGCCATATCAATATGAAAAACACTTTTTTCTCTTTTAAGAACACTTTTAAAAGAATAAAAAGACCAATCATAGATTGGAAGAAAATATTTGTACATCTTATATCAGACAAAGGACTCGTATCCAGAATATCTAAAGAACCCTCAAAATTGAATAAGAAAACAACCCAATTTTTTTAAATGGGTAGAAAAATTTGATAAATAGTTCATCAAAAAAGATACATGGATGGCAAATAAGCATATAAAAGGATGTCCAATGTATTAGTCACTACAGACAAGGAAACTAAAAGCACAATGAATACCATTACATATCTATTAAAATAGCAAAAATAAAAAATAACAATTCCAAGTGCTTATAATCACGGAAAGAAATGGGAACCATAGCAGTAAAATGTAAAATGGTATAGCCACTCTGGAAAAGAATTTGGCAATTTCTTATAAACTTAAACATACACTTACCATATAACCCAGTAAACTAACTACATGTATTTGTCGTAGAGAAATAAAAAGTAATTTTTTGCATAAAAACCTGTACTTGAACAAGTATACCAGCATTATTTATAAATGCCTCATACTAGAGGCAATCCAAGTACCCACTAATGGCTGAAAAGTTACATAAACCAATTAGCATATCCACACAATGGATTACTACACAGCAGTATGAAATGACAGGTTATTGATATGCACAGCTACTTGGATGGACCTCAAATACATTTTATTAAATAAAATAAGCCATACTTCAAAAGTTACATACTATATTATTTCTTTATGTGACACTCTAGAGAAAGCATGGGAAAGGAACAGAGAAAATTCAGTGGTTACCAAGGGTCAGAGATATAGAAAGTCAGATACAAAGATGACATTATGAGAAAACTTTTTTTTAAAGATTTTATTTATTTATTTATTTATTTATTTATTTTGAGAGAGGGGAAAGGAGGGAGGAGACAGGGAGAGAAACATCAATGTATGGTTGCCTCTTGTGCACCCCCTGCTGGAGGCTTGGCCTGCGCTCCAGGCATGTGCCTTAGACTGGGAATCAAACCAGCAACACTTTGGTTAGCAGACTGGCACTCAGCCACTGAGCCACACCAGCCAGTGCAGAAATTCTTTGACAGTGTTGAAATTTTTCTGTATTCTTTATGCGATGATGGTTATAAGAATCTATACGAGTAAAAAAAATCATAGTACCAAACAGTGAAAAAAGTAGATTTTACTCTATGTAAAAGTGAAAAATATAAAACAATTTCAAAAACTCTTTGGGGACTAACATATGATGGCAGAAAATTCTCAGGATTTGAGAGTACAATAAAATGTTTAAGTTTACACCACTTAAAGACTATATGTAGCCCTAACTGGTGTAGCTCAACGGGTATAGTGCGGGCTATGAACCAAAGGGTCGCCAGTTCGATTCCCAGTCAGGGCACATGCCTGGGTTGCAGGCCAGGTCCCCAGTAAGCAATGCATGAGAGGCAACCACACATTGATATTTCTGTCCCACTCTTTCTCCTCCTCTTCCCCTCTGTCTAAAAATGAATAAAATCTTTTTAAAAAGACTATATGCAAACCTGGTTATCAAGTAGGAACAAATCAAGAAGCTAGAAGCAATCAAGTAGCAAGTATCCAGAAGCAAACATACACAGACTGTCCTATAAAAAAATAAATATATGTAAGTGCTTAAAATTCTGTACTATCACCGGGATGGGAATGGGGGAGTGTGTGGAGGGCAGGCAGGAGGGGAAGTGAGGTGGGATACTGGAGTCACCTGGCCTCTGCTTCAGATGAAGAGTGTAGTGATTGTGCAGGTTGAATGACTCAAGCTCAGTAGTGATATCAGCTCAGCTCTGTTCCTAAACATTACCAAGGTAGAAGGCCAAAGTTCATCAATACCTCTTCAATGGCACCTGCAGAAATCCTGTGACCCGCAACATTTATCACGTCGTCAACTCGAGACATAACATACAAATAGCCTTCTTCATCCATGTAACCGGCATCCATGGTGTCATAATATCCCTGTAAATAAGAATAGGTAATGTCTAATTCGCATATACTATTAGGTAATATAATCATTTTTAAGCTTGGTAAAATATAAATGTCACAGGAATAAATGTACTGTATGCATTTGGCTTTTTTATAGCTAAGCCTATAGAATTAAACTACTTTTGATTTTGAAAGCTTACTAGAAACTATTGACTCCTCTAATAACCAGGAATAAATTTATGCATATATTTAAATATGTGTATATACTTGTATATAGATGTACATAATGTATATGTATATATATGTGTGCATATATATATTTGAGTAAAGCTTTTAAACTTGGAGTTGTAAAGTTTATGAACCCAATTCCTTTTTTTAATTGAAAAGTAATAGCTCCAATATTTCCAATATAATTTGGTATTTCAAAGTAATTTTTTGGTAGATTTATTCTTTAATTGTGTTAATATTTAAAAGCTTTAAAGCTCTCTATGAATAATTGCAAAATAGAGCACAGTTTATTAACACGGATTTGGATTAAACTCGAGCTTCAGTGAAACGTAGTTAGGTATTAAGCATGAAATTAAAATTTTAATCAACTCAAAGGAGTAGCACATCTTCATTGGTCCACAAGTCATAATAGAATGAAGAATCAAGAAGAAGTAAAAAGAAAGAAATATAACTTCCCCAAGACCTCTGAGTTACCTTGATACCTATGTTTGTGAGCATGGACTTTGGGACAAATCCTGATGAGTCACTATTTGTGTTCAACACTCACTGTGCACACCAATTAAATGAGGTAACAAACTATGCCTTATAAGGCTTTTGTGATGCATACATTAAATGGTGTGCATAAAGAGGGCAGACACAAGCACAGTATGAGCCCTCAATAATTAACACTCATTGCAATTCTTGCAATTACTATTAGAGGGACAATCTAGAGTATTAATTCAAGAACATGGACTCTGGAGCCAGACTATATGGGTTCAAATGTTAACTTTGTTACCTTTAAGCTATGGTCAAGTAACTCAATTTGTCTGTGCTCTTATTAACCCCTTAAATGAAAGCTTTGAGGTAAGGGTAACAGGGCAGAGTACAGATTCGCTACCGATAGCTTAAACATATACTGGGACATGGAAGAAACTTTCAGTGTTAAAGGTGACCATATTATAACCACATGCATATATTATTTGCCCTTGTCAGGTTGTAATTAACCATGCCAATATTCTGATGATTTAACGGTGGCCCATCAAGCTTTAGACTGAGCCGACTAAAGGCAACTCCGCTGACAAATCTTTCCTGCCACTGTCCCCCAGGGGCTTCTTTCCTCTTGGCTACAGAGATTATTTAACTATGAGATCTCTTTCTAATGGAAGTTATTTTAATTCTTGTCATCTGTCTAGTCGATTAGGTTAGCTATTCTTCACTCACAAATGAAAAAGGTAGAATGCTAAATACTCAAACGTACTTTTTTTTCTTTTTAAACAAATTCTGATTATTCGTTTCCCCTAGGGAATAATGGGACCAGGTATCTCTCAAGGAGAGACAAGGAAAAGACAGCAAGAAGATGATGGCAGGGCCCTACTGGGTGTTATCTCATCAATGAAGTTCTGCTGTAAACACAAATCGCACAACCACGGCAGGCGTGAACAGATAAAGGATAAAACAGACAATAAATAGGAAGGCGCTGTCTGTTACCAGGTGATTGGATGTTGTGTGTTGAGAACACGGTCTCTATCCTGTATTTGTACTTTAAAATGTTATTTTAAAATGAAAAGCTCAGAGAACACTCAGGGAAGACATCGAAAATAGCTACAGGTATAGAAAACTACAACTTCGGACGAACCCACCAGTGAGTTTGCTCACGTAACCAGGAGCCCAGGAGGGGAAGGGGTTTTCCTGGCAGTGGTGTTCTGGTCAGGGCCTCAGTCTGTGAAAAAGGCCAGTGGAGGAAATAACAAAGGAAGTCCCGAAAAGTTTACCTTCACAATAATGTTTCTAATACTGAAGGCGGTGAAATTCCAGAAAGAGCTACTAAATCAAACTGAGAAATTTTTCATCCTGAGAATAATAAAAATAATTATAAAAATCACTTGTTTATGTGGTTTGGACGTTATTATTGTTGAAGCCTGGGAACTGGTCCACATAACCTTTAAAAGTTCCTTTGTGGTCAAGTTGCTCCACAGAATAGCCAAGAACTATAGAGACATAATAAGAAGGTTTAAAAACAAAAGCATAATAAAATTCTTACAGGAAATTTTTCAAAGTATAAATGCTTGAATGCTTCCTGATTCTTCCAGAGTCCTGAAAAAGCCCCAGGTGGTAATGGCAACCTTATATAAAAACAGAAGAGTTAGAATCATGATGGATGTGGTAACAAAGACAGGATGATGAGAACTAATAACTTTCCAGTATAATTACAACTCAAATCCCATAACAAAATGTAAGCCCTAAATCTGCGGGATAGCCCCCGTCTCACTGAGTCGTTGACCTCCACACAGCAGAGTCGCTGGGGGATGACTGCAGTTGCTGTGTGTGCATACGAGGCCCACGCATTAATGTTCCGATAGTCAGCAGCAGTAATCCTGGTTTCAAAGAGAAACTTAACATCTGCAGAAAGAATCCCAAATGCATCCCTGAATTAATATTTAAGAGAGATATCCTTCTATCATAGGCAAATCAATTCCTTTTTTTAAGTATCAAGGTACCAACTTCCCGTCTCTGTGTAATTAAATGCTCCGATTAAACATCCCATGAACTATCTTATCTTCACAATCAATGTGCCTCCCCACTCTGAGAATTCCCTCCCACTGCTCCCTCCTCAAGTTTTTCTTTTCATGACCACGCAGACCTATGTTATTTCTCACTCCTATGAACAAAACAGAAGGCAGTATACGTCTCCTCTTTTTAACCCATTTCCTTGTACATTTCCATCTGTGAGGTAGCTAAAGACATGGCCTCTTCCACCCCCCGTGATGAGGGCTGGTGGGGGAGGGGGAGCGCCAGAGGAAATGTGTATTGTTTTGGGACTGGTTTGTAACTCCCTCCTTATATCCTTTTGGGTGTGGATTCCTGTCCTGTGACTGCTTCTTGCTGCCTGTACACACTGAGACAATGTAGCTCCAGGCCACACGTAGGTTTGTACAACCTGGACCCATGCTGCCTTTGCCGGGGACCCCTTATAATGAGCCTCGGACTGAAGGAGCTGTGGTCTCTCTTACACCGACCTGCCGCCGCCGCTGCGCTCCCCTGTAATGGGAGTACTAAATGGCACATGCACCTCTGCTAATCTACCAGGTGGGGTTTCTTCCCAGAATACCACAAACACTTAAGTAGCTCTCCGGTCTGGAGCTCCTGCATTACAGTATCTACAAATAAATGAATACATTCTTACATTGATTCCTTGTAGGAAGTACCACATAACAATCCAATGTGTTCTCTGGACAAAGGAATCTTTTAGATGCTCTATAGTTTGGAAGTTTAGGTACTATAAAACTTAAGGATTTTCAAAAATCTGACCTCCTGTACTCACACCACAAAAACACTAAGTAAAGGAGTTAGTTCGCAGCGCTGATGCTGAGAAAATTGAAAACAGAGCAGACATGGCCATTGCTTGCATGAGGCAACTTCGTGGACCTGGCAGGCCAGCGTTAGACCTGGGAGGCACTGAATTCTGTTTTCACTTTCCGTCAGCAAAAAATGGGATAAGGTTAGCAAGTGGGATCCACAGCCCAGCTGCACTTGCCTATTTTCACCATGGCCAGCCTCCCTGTAGGGCCTCCCTTGTTAGATCTTCTTTTTGTAATATTTTAAGATGAAAGAAAAAGGATACATTTGCATTTCTGAACCTCATATAGTTACATAAAACATATGAGAAAGCATCTTGATACCTTAAAAAAAACCTGCAGGGATGCTGCCATGTCGCTCCTGCAGTTGTTACTGTTACTGTTCACGGAGAAAGCTGCAGGAAGGCAGCAGGAGGAAGCTCAGGTCCTTTTAACTTGCTTGTGTTCACCCTTCCAATTCACCATGCAAATAATTTCACTCCATGAGTTTGTGAATATTTTATAAACCAGTGTAAAATCATTGATTATGAAACATGAAACTAAAATAAGAATATGGCAACCACGACAAATCATTTTCAATTTATTAGCAACATGTTCAGGGTGTGAGGTTAAAGAAGTGAAGAGGACACTAAGAAGAGGCTGTAAAGGGGTGTAGAGTGAGGGTCCCCAGAAAATAGGGGAAAACCCACATCAACCTTGGCGGGGAGGAGGGGCAAGTGAATGATACAAGACACTTGGCACAACAATGGCAAGTTAAGAGCTGTGCCTTTTTTGGATGAAGAAAGCTGCCTCCCAGGGCCAAAGGTGTGTGTGACTTCAAGAGCCTAGAATGACTTGTGACATAGCCAGAGGAGGCAGATGGCCCTGTGTCGTGGGGAATTCTTGCCCTGATTAGAAGATGGCAGCCAAAAGAAGGTAAAAGATACGCGGGAACTGGCAAAATTGGCACATCATAGGAAGGGCCGGCTATGAGGTCACATAGTACGTTCTGGGCCAAGCGTTTAAAATAAGGGTGGGCTGAGACAAAAGGAGAAAGAAGTCATGCAGGCTGAAAGGGTGGAGATGGAACTCAGCTGTGAGGTCTGGTGTATAGGGGGAAGGTCTGTAGTAAGAAGGAGCAGACTACGGCAGAGCTGATGGAGCTCTGAGGGGGCCTGATTTGTGAGAGGTGCTTGGAGCTGAACTGGGAAGGGGAGCACTGAGCTATTGACTTCTGCTTCTCTGAAGGATGGATAGAGAAGTCGCTCTCCCGGGACTGTGCCTCCCTCAACTCCACCCGACCCAGTGTAAAACTGCACGTGTTTTCCTGAACCACTGCATGGAGGCTGAGAGCAATATACCCCAGACCCTCGGGGAGAGAGCTGCTGTGATTGGACAGAGACTCTGAAACACACATGCGCACCTTCCAGGGAGGATAGACCTCTGTTTGTGTGACTGGCTGATGGGCAGATGAGGACGTGAGGAGCTTCTGGCGTGGTTTTGGCTTATGGCCTTTCAGGAGGCAAGGAAAATACTGAGTTTCCTGGGAGAACAGGGCTCTGAACAGGAATGCTCTCAGCACCCCCTGGGTTGGAATCCTATTAATAAAAACCTATCTGCTTCAACACTAGTTGTTGGGTCATGTGTCAAGGCACTGCATGGCCAAGCCCCAGTTTCCTTGGTTACAAGGTGACCAATCATAATCCAATATGGACCAAAAGAAACATCATTAACAAGCAAGGCCAATTGTATGTAAGCAATAATAAACCTGATGGAGATGCTTTCTGCTTGCACATTAAATGATAAATATTTTTCAGCTGTTCCCAAGAAATACATCATGATATATAGTCCTTTCTGTCTTTCTTGGTGACATTTTTTTTAACAGACACATGGGTATAAGAAAGTATCTCCCTACAATAAGAAAAATTAAAAGTAACTGCGATAATGAATGACAACTGAGATTCAGACTGGATTGGGGACAACAGAGAGTAGTGGGGGCAAATCAGAATGCATGTCAGGTTTAATCTGTAGTTCCACCTGATTGCTGATATGCAGAAATTCTGATCCAAATCCTTAAACATGAAACATTGCCCATACTAAGAACTATGCGTATAGAAGGACGTGTGGTTAAACAAGCATCTCTTTCATTTTATCTACCAAAACTTCAAGATTGTAGTCCACCAGCATTCACACACTGCCACCTCACAGTACATGGAAATACTTAAGAACTTGCAATAATTATGCAAATGAGTTAGTACTTAGTGTACTGAATATCATCAGAGTTTCCTAGTGGTTCAGTATGTACCTAATTCAGTGAGTATACATGGGACTAAGAGTTTAACATTTTCCAGTACAAATGTTATTGGCAAGAAAGAGGATATCTCATACTTCCCAGAAGCTGGAAATATCTGCAATCTCTATTTTTCAAATAAGATGCCTGATAATCTGAGGAAAATACGGTACTTGAGGGATTGATGGACATGGTCCTTCTTCCTCCCATGACAGGGGGCTGGTCAAAGTTTACTGGCTATAAGGAATGTGCATTGTTTTGAGAATGGATTGTAACTCCCTCCTTATCTCTTTTTGGGAGCAGCTTCTTGTCCTGTAACTGCTTCTTGACCTTTTATACATTGAGGCATTGTAGTTTAGAGTCACACCTGAGACATCCTTCGTTTTGGGCCCCTTTTAACAAGCCTCACTAGAGAAGGCATGGTCTCTCTCACATGGACCCACTGCTGTTGGTGCCCTCCCCTGTCATGTGAGTAATAAGTGGCATGTCCACATCTGCTAGCCCTCTGAGTGGTTTTCCTGGAATATCATGAATACTGAAGCAGCTCCCAGTTTGAGTTTGGAGCTCCTATGCTACAGTATTAAAAACTGGTAACAGATATAATTGTTAATTATATTCCTATAATTAATAAAAGTGTGAGAATAAAAAGTATAGGTATTCATCCTCAGAAAATACAAGCTTTAAGGACATAGGCTTTCTCAGCAATTGCATAAAACTTTAAATATCTGCATAAGTTTTCTGAAGAACAGGAAGAATATAGGTTTTTATGCCATCCCTCATTCTGGTGAGAAAGGCCTGCATAAGGTTATATATGCCTATAGACCATGAATATTAAGAATAACACACCAAGGGTATGATCCAGGAAAAGGGAGCAGAACAATGAGAAATCCACCCTCGCTGGTGTGGCTCAGAGGATTGAGCGCTGGCCTATGAAACAAAGGGTCACCAGTTCAATTCCCAATCAGGGCGCATGCCTTGATTGCAGGCCAGGTTCCCAGTGAGGGGCCTGCAAGGGGCAACCAATCAATGTTGCTCTTGCACATTGATGCTTCTCTCCCTTTCCTTCTCCCTTCTTTCCCCTCTGAAAGTAAATAAATAAAATCTTTTTAAAAAGAAGGAGAAATCAAAGGTCAAATATTAGTGTTAAAGAAGTGTCACCATCAGTATTTAGCTAGAAAGGAAGAGCAAAGGGACTTAGACTTTGAGTTTAACGAAGCGGGGAAGAGTAAGCCTGTTTGCTTCCCCAGGAAGCCACAGCTTCACACACAGAAGCCTGTCTGTCTAACCAGGGCTGGTGGACCTGCCTACAGCCCACAAAAGTTTGGGAAGTTGACTGGTTCTTCTTTGATAGGAAGTTTATTCATTTATTTATTTTTAGAGAGAGGGGAAGAGAGGGAACAAGAAAAAAGCCTCTTTTTTAGAAAAGCAGTGGTTTAATGCAGACAGGTAGGCTGGTTTAGGACAACAAAGATTTGAGTGGAAGAACCCACTGGAAAGA